CAGAAGGCGAACGAAGCGTACCCTGTCGCGCCAGGCTCCAGAGGTATCCGTGCCACGGAGCGCGGCAAAGCGCTGGGTTGCGCAGGCAGCTGGTGGGGATACTTTTTGTTGTTCACCGACCGCTAGCGGAGAACGGCCGCGCGTTGTCCATAAGCCGCTCCGACGCCAGGCCTATGTGGAACAGGGCAGGCCTAAACTGCAGCTGGCAAGCGGAAAAAGAAGCGACGCGGGGAGGAGGAGAGATCGGGCGTTGGCAGAACTGGGTTTAGTGGAACCTGGTTTAGTGATCTGTACCAGGGGCGCCCCCCCGCCCCATTTCCACTAACCAGAACTGCTGTCACCCGAGAAAACACTAGCTATGGCAACCTGGTTTAGTGACCCTGGCCAATTGGGGGGCTCCGGGGCGTTACCACTAACCAGGCCCCCTTACCTGGGGTCCTGGCCATACCCGGAGAGAGGCCGCGGACGACCACGGGAGGAGAGGGGAGGGGGAGGGGGAGGGGGGGGGGGAGGGGAGGGAGGGGAGGAAGCGAGGCCGTGGTCGAGGAGCAGGGGGACACACGCAGCGCCGCTCAGAGGCGAGCTGCCGAGCCCGGGAGCGGCGGGAGCCCGTCGACCTCGAGGTACCTGCACGGCACCAGGAGCCGGCGCGCGGCCCAGCAACCCCGCGCACACCGGCTGCCAGGCGTCGGAAGTCTTGAGCCCGCCAGGAACGGGCACGGAGCACCGCATCCGTGATCCAGCGGCCAGGATTAGGTTGTTCCCATACTACGTAAGGACCACATCCCAGAAATAATTCCGAGCACCCGGAAAGGTGTCAAAAGAGTGTCGGAACAGTGTCAAAACAGTGTCGGGCGAGTGTCTCCCAGGGCCCGACACGTGAAAACCCTTGAGTTTGGGTACTTTTTTGGCGCTCGAAATTTTTTCTGGTAAACAAACCCAAAGTAGGTTGGAGCATCATAAGGTCAGGAGAAACAAACGCCGGCCCGCGCCAACGGAAGCACCTGACCTGGAAGAACACGAAACCGCCAGCCGCGAGCCGAATCGAGGTATCGGAAGCTGCCGACCCAGCCCGTCCATCGAGGCCGTCGCTGGACGGCCGACGTAGAGCGGGAAACTGGTGGCGATGCGCGAAGCGTCTAGAACGTCTGATCTTTCCTAGCGGCGCTTCGCTAGGGGAGCTCTGCTGGTGGCCGAAGAAGGCCACAGAAGATTCCCGCAGGGGGAACGAAAAGCCCTAGACCGCCCAGTGCTGGCAGCCGTTGTCGCCCGAGGCTTCCTCTGAAATGATTATGGAATCGTGCTCTCGCATCGATGCCGGCTACATGTCCGGACGGCCACAATCCCGTGCAAAAACACACACACACACACACACTGAAGTGCACATGGACGTGCCTTCACCTCACGATCCTGGCTGCATCTTTCCTAGGAGTTCATAGGAATACCTGGACCTCCTACTCCTCGACACCACCTCTTCACCTCTGCTGCTATTGAGCGAAGGTTGCAGGGGTAATGTGTTTGCAAAGATGGCTCCACACACCGATGGCAGATTTCTGAAATAAGAAAATGGGCAGTCGGCAAGCTGTCCTGTCGCAGGACCGTCATCGCCCTTCCCTCCCAGGTGAAAAGAAGATCCTGGCTCGGAAAAGGAAGGGGGGCAGAGGGAGGAAGAGACCGGGGCGGAGGAAGGAAGAGATGGGGGGCAGCGGGGGGAAGAGGCACTCAAACATGGGGTCCGAATCCAGGCCACCTAGCTCCACACATGGCGCCCAGTGATGCGCGACGCGCGAGCTTCGCGCCCCCGCGCTGCCGCCCCGAAGGAGAGCACATCCTGCGGCCCAGGCCGCGACGCGCGAAGCGCGATTGCATTCGCGCCTCCACGGGTGACCTATGCGCCCCCCACGGGTGACCTTTTGCGCCCTCACGGGGTCGGAGAAGCAGCTTCACACTTCGCAGCCCCCCGGGGGCGGCGAGGTCCCACTGGGGGTCCGCGCGGCACCCCGCTGCGCGCGCTCCCCCGACAGCCCTCGAAACCGGCGACGGTTTCACACGTCGCACCCCCCCAGGGATGGCGAGGCCACGTTTGGGTCTGCGTGGGACCCCACTTTGTTGCCCCCCCAACAGGCAGGCGAAATGGGGACGGAGCTGGCTCCCCCAGCAGGCAGGTGCAGACAGGAGCAGGCAGGCGAGAGGGGGACAGAGAGCGGGAGGAGAAAAGGAGAAGGGAGTCGGCACCCTACTGCTCTGTTCAAAAAACGAGAACCCAACAAAGTGAGGGCTGGAAAAAAAAGCCTGCGACGTACCCAACCCATCGGCACCAAGGGATAATATAAGGTGTGCCGACAATGATACAACAGCAACACTGCAAGAGACGGTGCACATCGGATATCTACATCGTGCGAAAATGCGTGTGGCCGACTCGCAGAACAGAGGTACAAAAGGCCAGGAGGCATTGCACTGGGAAGGAGAAGGAAAAGAAAGACATCGGGGCGGAAGAACA